TCTCTACGTGAAATATATTATTATTTACTGACAAAATATCGCTTATGTATCTTAACCGCCATCGCTTTAAGAAAAAATACCTGATAAAATATCTTGTGTTACATAGTTTAAAAATGTATAATTTTTTTTTTCTATTCGAAGGTCGGAAATCAATTCCACAACGAAAAAAATATAAATAATCCACGTTTGATTTTAATGTTTAATAAATTACATATTTACAGAAGAAAAGTCCTTTCCTGTAAAATTTGCCTTTTGTCGCTTAAGATATTTTGTCAAAAACCCGTCTCATATTTACCTAAGATTTGGTTGGGCTGTTAAAGTTTATTTTCATCAAAAGCGTCTTTAATTTTTTAATATATAAAAAACTAATTACATACTGCCAACCAGTCTCACAAAGTATTTTTGCTATTTGATCTAATTGGTTTGTTATTCCCCACGGATCTTCTTATTGCAAGCCAATATATATCTTTAAAGCTTTCTGTAAAACATATTAACGTAAAAAAGTGCAAAAAATTATAATTTTATATTTTTTGTAGATAGTTATATATAGCTTAAAACGTCCTATAAATGCTTTTAACTTTTCATCTATTTTAGCATAATTTATATATTCAGTAAGATTTGTTTACATTTAAAACTTCTCTACTACTACTTACAGTGTCACAATATCCACGAATCTTCGAAATAAGATTATTTCTAAATAATTGTAAAATCTAATATGATTTTTTAAAATCAAGCATTTCTGTTGCACAATTTCATAATACCTCTTCCTAAGATTTGCAATGTGCAAATTTGCAAATGCAGTTCTAGCTGCAACCATTCATTATAATTTTAAAGAATGTAATTAAATTTTTAGAATGCAATTAGGTGAATTTTCGTAATACCCTATAAAGTTCGCTAGTAAGTATTCGCGAGGCATTCCGCGATTAAAGATGTAAATACAGCTTGTAAAACATTTAAGGAAAATGTCACATCTCGATGTCGGAGTTTTTATGAGATGAGGGTGATGGTTCGATGCAAATTAGATTTGCGGGTTTACGGAGATGACCTCAGGGCCGTACTGCTCGTCACGATTTTTGAATAAATTATTTTCACTAGTTTTTCAACATTATTTTTGATGGTTTATTATTAAAAACAGAATTATAGACATAACAACTAGTAATCGTTTGTTTATATTCACATAAAATAACACAAACAAAAGTACTTTAACAGTGCTTGAAATAATAATTAATTTTAACTACCCCGTTGATAAATTTTATAAATAATAATATAACAATTTCGGCAAAATTTTCATCTAGATTTACCGTATTACTGGGATTCTACACAGTTTGTTTCTATTGACTTCCCCCATACTACAAAATATGCACTCACCCTTAATTTTGTAATTTTAAAGAGGTATTTAATATGAAAATAGAGTGTGTTAGTTTTAAAATCAACAATGGTATATCTCACGAACAAAAGTTGATATCGAAAAATGCTTGATACCGTTTTTAGGATACTAAGGAAAAAATTAAAAAGACATGAAAGAAATCTCACCCCCATCGACCCCCTAGACCCCAACCACCACAACTAAATAAGTTAAAATTGCAAACCTCTACTTATTATACATAATTGAAAAAAATAATTATACAGGATGAAGCAATAATTGTGAAACTTTGGCTCAAACTGATATTTTAATGAGGTTTTTGTTTAACTACAAATTTGTTAAAAAATTTAATTAAGTAAATATTCAAAGTAAGTTTTGTTGTTTTATAAACAATAATACAGCCTTTTTTCATATTCTGCGTGAATTTTGGCAAAGTTTGTTCTAGTAATACCGCGACATGCTTGCGTAATTATTTATTGTAATTCCCCAAGTGACGCAGATTAAGTTTTATAAACAACTGACTTAAGGTTACCCCATAGAAAAAAGTCAGGTGGCGGTAAGTCTGGTGACCTCGATGGCCACTTAATAGGACATCTCCTTCCAATCCATTTGTTTAAACAATTATTATCCAACCAGTGCCTAACTGAAGCTGCATGGTGAGGAAGTGCTTCATATTGTTGGAAGTGTAGCAAATCTCCATCTAAAGCTAAGTTGTCTTGATCGTACCTTTGATTCTCTAAGTTAGGCACAATTAAAGGTTCGATGGTGTTTTACAACATAAAGAATGAATGAATGACGAAATACTACAGTTGATGCGTGAAAGAAGGGTACACAAAACAAATAATCCTATAAGATACAAAAAACAAATAAACTGATAAAAAAGAAAATAAAAGAAGCTTGAGAAAGATGGCTAAGTGAGTAATGCCAGGAGTTGGAACAATTGGAGGGAAAATATGACTTTTTTAATTTACACAAAAAGATTAAAGAAATGACAGGAAGGAGAAGAACAACACAGACAGGACAGACCAAAGATACAGATGGTAAAATTATAACAGATTTACAACAAAAAATGAACCGATGAACAGAATACATATCACAACTGTTTGATGACAAAGATAGACAAGAAATCTCAAACGAATATACAGATGATACAGGGCCTGATATAATCAGAGGAGAAATAGAATATGCAATCAAACAATCAAAAAGTGGTAAGGCCCCCGGTCCTGATGAAATTCCCGTAGAACTTCTCAAACTTATGGACGATGAATCTATTAAAATACTCCTAGATCTATTTAACACAATATATAGAACTGGAATAATACCTAGGGAATGGCTCCGTTCGACCTTTATACTACTGCCAAAAAAGGCAAATACAAAGGAATGCAACGAATATCGTACGATAGCTTTGATGAGCTACGACAGCTCTAAAACTGTTCTTAAAAATAATCCATAATAGGATCTATAGGAAATTAGACGTAGACATCAGTAACACTCAGATGCTCAGGGCTGGGTACAAGGGAGGCTCTGTTTGCAATGAACGTTCTCTCACAGAGATGCTTGGACATGAACCAAGAAATTTACGCCTGCTTTATTGATTTCGAAAAGGCCTTTGACAAAGTACAACATGAACCACTAAGACAAGTTCTAATAAAGAAAAATATAGACAGCCGAGATATTCGAATTATATACAATCTATATTGGAATCAAACAGCAAATGTCAAGGTTGAGGGCAGACTAACAGAAAAAATTCAAATCTGTCGAGGAGTCCGGCAGGGATGTATCTTATCGCCACTTTTATCTAATCTGTATAGTGAAGCTATCTGTGAACAAGCACTCAATGAAGAAGATCTTGGTCTGATAATAAATGGTGAGACGATCAACAATATAAGGTATGCTGACGATACAGTTTTCCTAACGGGAACGCTAGTGGAACTGCAACATCTCGTTCAAAGTCTCAATATATACTGTAACAGTTACGGCTTGAAAATTAATTTGAAAAAAACTAAATTTATGGTAATCACGAAATCAAAGAACATTAAAGCTAATCTTGTAATAGACAGTACAACGATTGAGCGTGTGCCCTGTTATAAATATCTAGGTGCTTGGATCACAGACGATACTGATATAACAAAAGAGATTAGATGTAGAATAGAAATCGCTAGATCAGTCTTTAATAGAATGCGCAAACTCTTTTGCAATCGTGATATCAATATAAAGTTACGAATACGAATGCTGTGGTGTTATGTCTTTTCTACCCTGTTATATGGAGTTGAAGCTTGGAAACTAAAACAGTTGTCCATAAAAAACATCGAAGCTTTCGAGATGTGGTGCTATAGGCGCATTCTCAGAATATCATGGATGGACCGCGTCACTAACACGAAAGTACTCCAAACTTTAGACAAAAGATGCGAAATTCTAAATGAGATAAAAACTAGAAGATGGAATACTTGGGGCACATTGTGAGAGGTGAAAAGTACGATCGGTGCAAGAACGAGGCAGCTATGGAGTTGCCCCCTTTTTGCACCGAATCAGTTGACGTTTCCGCCGCTTCGATGCAGCACCTGTGGAATGCAGTGTATAGCAAGCGTGAATTACGTCGCAATATTTACGTTTAGTTAGTTCCGTAATTTCGACGAGGGTACGTGCATTTTTAAGTACTAGATAGCTGGTATAGTTTCCTAATATTTAAGTATAAGTATGTATTTTATTATGTACTATAATATTAATGGGTATAAGTGCGTACGAATAATATATACAGAAAAGCAACAATTTCAAAACATTTATTAATTTAAAACTTTATTTTAGGTTTGAAATAAGAAATATGTCATCAAATATGTCAGACGCAGCAGTAGCCCAGTAGAATTATTTTACGATTCTGACAATAATCTTGATTTTTGTTCGGATAACCCTTGACCTAGTGTTCGGCGTTTTTCCTTCTTTACTTCAAGCGCTGAAGTTTCATCACTAATTAAGGGTTACTCTGAAAGTGATGATGTTTCACAAGCAGCAGGCAAAACTAAAAAAATGTAAGCAAGAAACGAGTTAGAGATGAAAAATAAACGTGGCCAAGCAAAGGAGACCTAAAGGAAAGCCTTATATAGGTTTGAAAAACTAAAAAAAGTGTGTAAAAGAATAAAAAACGGGTAGTGATTGCTATTGTAAATTTAAATGTTTTAAAAATTTGACGACCGTAATAACAGTGAACTTCTGACATTTTTTAATGAATTCGGCAACAAAGAAAAGCAAGACATTCGTATTTGGGGGACAGATAAATTTTAAAAATGTTGAAAGATGAAAGTCTAATTCTAGTGCAGGATTGAAGCAAACATGTTTTTGTGTATACAGTATTAAAATTGGCATAACAGAACGACGACTGTACAAAAAAGCTTTTTGTTCACTATATGGTATCAGTAGAAAAAGGGTAGAGCTTCTTGTCAAACATTTGCAACATAGTATACCTGCCCTCAGAGATATGCGTGGTAAACACGCCAATCATCCTCGTCACTCTTGTCATTCCTGACACATAATTCATCAAACTGATTCTCGTATTTAATCGTTTTCAAAAAGAACGTCTTACTATAGTCGGACAAATCATGAAAATAGATATTAGTTGAACCCTGAACTAAATATGAGTAAAATGCATAAACTTTTCTTTCAAAAATATGAACCGGATGTTTACGTCGCAATACAGAATGACCCACAAGTTACACCTGAAGTTCCTTATGACTATTTTTATAGACATTTCGTAACAAACTACAAATACTCTTTCGCTAAGCCACAATCTCATACATGCCAAAAGTGTGATAGACTGGATAATCTTTTATCTGGGAAAAGAGATGAACAAAAAGTCTAAAACTGGAGAAAGAAGTACATGAAAAGAAAGCAAACTATTTTTATAAACAATTTAAAAAATATATTGGAAAGGTTAAAATAATCAACAATCCGGCTGAGCTATAAGCATTTGATTACCAGCAAAATATGCCTCTTCCCCATGTAACCAGTGGAGATGTCTTTTTTAAGCGTCAGCTCTAGAAATATAATTTAGATATAGCCCATTGTAAGTTTTAAAATTGACACACGGTATAAAAAATTAAAAACGCTTAATTTTAAGACCATTCAAAAGGTTTCCATGTCAATCAACCGGATAATACTGAATATTTGTCATGATATTTTAAGATAATTTTGGTATTAATTTGCCAAATAATATGTTCTGTTCTTGTTCAATGTTATATAAATTGTTTCACGGTATGATACTTTAACTTTGACATTTATTTTTGACGCCTATTAATTAATCAACTACAGTCAAAATCGTTTACAACGACACCGGCTATAACGTACAATCGTATGTAACAAACAAAATAGTAGGTCTCATTAAAATGACATACAAAAAACGCATTTATATTGCTTATCATGAACAAATCGGTTAGAGCAAACGTATTTCTTGGAACACTAGCAGTTAAAATTTCAAGTACATATCTGTACTTCAGATTATACAACATCCATTTCTTTTTCAATTATGAATTGTGCACACTGTATAATATATTAATAATAAATAATTATAACCAACGCATGTTGTAAATTACAGTAGATACAATGTTCAATATAATATGGTTTCCATATCTTAATAAATAAGTTTAAAAGTGCTATCCTGTAAAATTATGAAAATGGACATTGTAGTGTTGTATTTCTCAAAGATATTACCGATATTTAGTACCACGAAATAAGAAGTAAGGATTTATTAATTTATGGTTCTAGTACATCCGGGCAGGTATCTACACTTAATTACTTGTCCTTTAGACATTTAGACCTCCCAAGACGGGTCCATTGTATTACAAAATTTTGCTTATATTACAACATTTCGCCCAAGCAAAGAGTTTCTGAATTTGAGTTCAGTTGTGTCTAGTCTTCATAGAAAACATTTCACAGAAATAATTTACTATTGAGGAACAGTTTGAAATAATTTGCCGAGTCGATTCCGGTGATTCCGCGAGTTCGATTGCTCGGGAATTTAAAACGTCACGCTCAACAATTGCTGGAATGAATAAACGGCGAGAGAAAATTATTATGCAATTTAATTGGTGTTAAAAAGGAGAACGCGTTCGGTCATCAAATCACAGTGACATTAAAAGTGATTTGCTAGATTGGTTCAAACAACAACGCGCAAACAATGTACCCGTAAGTGGCCAGATGCTTCTGTTAAGGTAAGTAAAGGCTGACGCTTTCGCTGTGATTTTGAAGAAAGATTTTAAGTGTAATGATTCCTGGGTTCAACGTTTCCGAGCTTGCCACAATATTGTCCTTGGAAAAATTTCAGGTGAGTCAGCAGTTGTTGACAGATAAGTTACAAATGACTTGGTTGAAAATGTGTGGTCTACACTCAGCTCCGGCTATACCGATAATGAAATTTTTAATGCTGATGAGATGGGGTTATTTTTTGTACTGACACCTGATCACACGTTAAAGTTTAAAGGGGAGCAATGTTCCGGTGGTAAACTGTCAAAAGAGCAAGTTACAGTTCTTGTTACAGCCAACATGTCCGGGTCTATAAAAATAAGGCTTTTGGTGAAGGAAAAAGTAAAATGCCAGGCTGTTAACGTGAGAGACGTGTTAGACGAGAACGTGTTACACTTAAAAACGTGAAAAATCTCCCTGTTGGTTACGATTTCAATAAAAAGTCCTGGATGACGTCGGCTATTTTTGAATAGGCTTTAATAAAATGGAACAGTGAACTTTTACAACAAAAGAAACACATAATTTTAATTGTCAACAACTGTCTGTTCCACTACTCATTTGACAGGTTAAAACAAATTAAACTCGTTTTTCTACCTCCAAATTGTACGTCCGTACTGCAGCCCATGACAAAATTATCAAAAAGATAGAGAATAACGACGATACGAAAGTCAGTATTCTTTACCCTGTACTAGTGATATCAAATGCATGAACATCTGTTCGAAACGAAACGATCATTAACTGTTTTTATTTTTCTTGCCTAACTAACGATTTACAACCATCAGAAATCGCAGACAACGATATTGCACAAACGCATTTGCAGGATGCCGTTTTCCTTCTCAGTTCTTACTGCTTTGCAGCTGACAATGTACGAGTGAGTGACGAAATACGTATGAACGAAGAACTGTCAGATCTTGACATAGTACTGAGTCACCAAACTAGTGACAAAGTACGGATGAGGTTGTTAAAGAATTGGAATATTTCGGCAAAATCCCTACTGTTGTTGAAGCGTATGCTGCTTGTTCCCCTATAAGAGCATTTATTCAGACTGCTGAAATTTCCTAGAGTGTAAAAGAATCAATATCGATTGTTTCCACATTAATTGTTGAAAATGTTGAAAAAAGTTCTAGGAACGCGACAAACAAAAATTACAGAATTTTTCATTAAATATTCAGGTAAAATGTTGTATTTACATAATTTGTTATACATAAATGTATGTATTTTTTTTTTCTTTTTAAAAATAAATAGTATATGTATGCCTACATTTTTATAATACAAAGATTTTGAGTAGCCGTTATATTATGAGTATACTTAATTGACTACTTATACTTATTTCGATACATATTATACATATAATGTATGTACATATTTAAATGTACGTAAGTACAATAAACACATATGTTAAATGTTATGTATAATATGTTATTATAACATATTATAAGTATAGATAAAGTAACACATTTTTGCGTCATTACCTAGGTACAACGAACTAACTCTTCCTACCAGTGTAATATCGTTTATAGCAACCTGTTCATTAGTTCATTATAACCGATAGAACCGCTTACAGAGAACACAAGCTACAACGTACAAAAACCACCAGTCCTCTGAAGTTGGTTATAAACGATTTTGACTGTACTTTTGACGTTTGTCAGTAAATCATGCATTGTTCTTAATTTATATTATAAAAGATACAAGATCTAAAAAATACAAGAGTTTCAATAAGGCATTACATAACTACCACAATTAAAACAGTTTGGCGACGAGGATAAATCTATAAGGAAATGCATATATAGGGAGGCTAGTATACATACGTAACCTCTTGGTTAAATAGCTACCGATAGGAAAATTTTACCATCGTAATCTACTAATTTTATTTATGCTGCCTGTGTGACGCCACATCAAATAGGTAAAGAGAAATAAGAATAGGACTTACTCACAATTAATTTAAGTTATCACCAACGACAGGTTTCGAATACTATAATTTGCTGTGCATCTTCAGGTAAACGGTACATGTTAAACTAAATGCTGAAAATATGATTATTTAAATTCGTATTTAATAAATCACACACATACTATTGGCATATTTGCTATATATTTTGTACCAGACAGTACATACTACATAATACAATTGTAATCCTGTTATAATTTGTATACATATACATTTAGAGGCTGCATTTATTCAGTTTATACCGTATTTAGCATTGAACTTTACGATACATCTAAGAAATTCGACCTTAGGCTATAGCGACTTCAGAGTTCATTTAACGTTTTTGCAGTAGCAGAAGATAAAAAGACTGTATATATTTTACACTACATGGCTTTAGAGGCCTAATATGATATTCTTTGCCATCAGATTTTACCCCAAAAACCAGATGGCAAATCATATGATGAAATGAAAATTACATTGAAATTACAATATAATCCTTGTAGATAAGATTAGTATCTACACATTCGGACAAACATGAAGAATGTCCTAAAATGAGATAGAGAGTATAACATAGATTGCTGGTTACAAAATATGAGAGCTCTTAACTGTAATATAAGAATGTCTTAAACACTAACGATTCAAAAAGCTATCCAAAAATACAAAACGATTTATTATGGAGAAAAAGAGAGCAAAACAAATAGCATAAATAGAATCAGTACAAATACATAAAGAACTAATCAAAATTCCTACTACTAAATACTACTTACTTATTAGCTAACAAGTCTTTCGAAATATATGTGCACTATTGTCTATCCAAGTCGTTATCACGAGGATGTGAATATAAAGATGTACCAACTACGTGGGTCTAAGGCCACCAATGCAAAAACTTTTAAAAACTTATTATTGATTGCTTTTATACCATAAGCTGGAAAAATCTTTGACAGAATCGGAGAACACGGTATAAATATGTCAGGAGTAAATCCTTGATGAGTTTCTTTAGGGCTTCTTTCTGCAAACAGAGATGTTGCACCGTGCGTGACTAAATTCACTCTGAGGGTAGGAGGAGTACCTGATTTTTCGGGGAGTCTTCTTTCTAAAGACACAAACAAACTATATACCAAAAACTATTGACAATCAATTTTTGACAGATGTTTGACATTTTTTATAACATTTATAGAGTAGGTGTATTTTTGTCAAAAGTGAAGTTAAATACTAATTTGTGGATGAAAGTGTGTGTTGTGTGGTTTTGAAAGTACACGTAACAAGCTATAGAGGTAGATGAATACCCATTGCCTACAATTAAAGCATTATTTTCTACTATGGCTGTTGGAGATAAGTTTACAAAGCTTGACTTCGGCATACATTCATATCTACAAATGGAAGTGCAAGGTTAATTTATAAAAATTAAAATTATTTTAGAAGAAATCCCAGGAGTGCGACTTTTCCTGGATAATATAAAAATTACCACACCTGATGAAGAGTTACATTAGCCAATATTAAAATTAGTTCTTAGCAGACTGGAAAACTACTATTTTACCTATTATAGAAAATTTACCTATTACTTTAAAAGAATTAAGTTTTAAAACTTCAAGAGACCTCACACTACAAAATCTGTACAATCCTCTACAAAGTAGAAAACTAATATATGCTAGGAATAGATTCAATATTCTTTAGGCAGAATTCCCTTTAAAATAAAA